AAAAAAAAAAAAAAAAAGTCTACAAATAGAACTACCATATGATCCAGCAATCCCATTCCTTAGTATCTGCCCTAAGGACAGAAGAATTCTTCATTGGAAAAGTGCTTGCACATCGATGTTCATTGTGGCACTTTTCACGATTGCTAAGACATGGAACCAACCCAAATACCCCCATACAGATGAATGGATTGAAAAACTGTGGCACATATATTCTATGGAATACTATTCAGCTATAAAAAAAACAACAAAAAACCCTGGCTTTTGACAGAAAGTGGAAGGATATGGAAGATTTACTGCTGAGTGAAGCAAGCCAGGCTATGAAGGAGAGACACTGTATGTCCCCACTTAATATATACCAAGTGTCCGCACTCTATAACTGAAACTGACGGGCTAAAGGATGTACAAACACAAGAGGTGGGTGTGAATGCCAGATGTGGTGTGTGTGCAGGAGTGGGGCCTGCGGAAAAACATTTGGAGGAGGGATATGGAGACAGCATTGTTGAGACAGGGAGGTAGTATTGTTATGTTTTGATCAACTGGACGGGGGAGAAATGTTCACGTATTGAAATGATCACCTTGTAAGCTAAATAATGTGATTGAATGTATTTAAAAAAATGTAAATAAAAAAAAGAAAACAGCTAAAGGATGGAGGACTACTTCACTGAGCTATTTCATTAGCAAGTTCTGTAGAATTTTTAAAAGTAAAATGAATATTTTAGATTGTTTAGATTTATAAAAAATTGTGAAGATAATACAAGTGTCTCTATTTCCCATGTGTAATTTCTAATATCATTACAATATTAACTGAAGCCCATACTCCATTCAGATTTCTTCAGTGTTCCCCCAGTTTCATTTTTCTGTTCCAGAGTCCTTTCATTCAAAATACACATTGCATTTAGTAGCTGTGTCTCTTAAAGATTCTCTTCTTTGTGACTTTTTCTCACTTTCCTTGTTTTTGATGACCTTGAAAGTTTTGAGGAACAATAATCAGGTGTTTTCTAGGATTTCCTCCAACTGGGTATGGAAGGCTACAGGGGTAAAATATCATTGCCACCTTTTACCAAGGGCATATAGTTACAATATGACTTGTCACTGTTAATGTTAACTTTCATCCCCTGACTTGAGGCGTTGTAGGTGTCTTTGCTGTAAATTTAGTCTTTTTCCCTCCTCTTTCCATCCTGTGTTCTTCGGAATAAAGTCACTATGTGAGCCCACACTTAAGAAATGGACAGCTATTATCTTCTTGGAGGCAGAGTATGTACAACAATTATTTGGCATTCTTTTTGCACAGGATATTTATCCATTATTAATCATTTATTTATTTAATAATTAATGTCAGTATATAGCAGTATTTGTTTGTTTCTTTTTTTTTATTTTTGGAGAGGTTTTTGCTATAGAGCGCGTGCACTCGCCAGACAGACAGAGAGAGACAGAGAGAGAGACAGAAAACAAGAAATCACCCCCCAGGGGGGATGGCCACACTGCAATCCCTTCTCCTCCATTCTCCTCTTGGGATCTTGGGCACACACACACACATGCCTGACATGGGTTTTAAGCCACCGGGTTCGGGACTCGAACCGCGTCGACTACATGGGAGTCCGGCGACATAGCCATTATGCCAACTGCTGGTCCCTAGCAGTATTTGTTTTAATATCTAATGATATTTTACTATGTTATCACTCAAACTAGTCCATCTTTGGCCATTAGAAGTTTTGTTTTTTTTTCTCCTATATCAGTTTGACATTCTACATGGTTGTGTCTATTGATTCATTTGATTTGTAGCACTTCATTATTTTCTGACACTACAAGATACTCCAGGCTTATCTTTTATATCCTGCCTCGGTCCTAGAATCAATGATTTCTCCAAAGAACTCTGGTTCCTTTTATTGAATAAAGGTATTAGAGATCAAGAGCTGGGTGCTAGCTGTGCTTACTGTTACTGAGGTGCCACTGCTTCAAGGTCCTCTCAGCTGATAGAAAAAAGAAGATATACGTATTACTACCTTGTGTGTGCACACACACATACGTGCACACGTGTACACTTTATACACAACCATCTGTATCTATATGAAGCTAAATACAAGGTCAGGCTAGACTAATGTCTCCAGTACTAATTCATTGCCACAAAAGTCATTCTAGACTCTCTCATTTGTTTATCTGTAACTTTTCACTCTAAAAATGAGAAACCTGACTCTCACCATCTTCTAGCAAGTTCATTAGTTGTTCAATACCAGTATACACACATATTGGTTTCAGGGATGTTAATCCACACTACCACGGGAAACAACTTATCAACTGCAGTGCCTGTTCCTTTTGCCTTTAGTTTAAAGACTATATTCATTTCCAAAGTTATTTAGGTTAGCATGTTATAATTCACTTTCTTCAGTGAAGTTATTTCATACACTGTAATATATTTAGATAAATTTCTCACATTCTATATTCATTCTGGGATTCCATAAGTTCCCAATTTCTTTAAAAAAATTATATATCAGGATTCATTCTTCATACTATAAAGTTCTGAGTTTTGACAAATGCTTATTGTTTTGTATTCACCATCACAGAATCAAACAGAATAGTATCTCCATCTTTAAAAAAGTACCTCGTGCTCCACGTAGTTCACCTCCTATCAGGACAAACACTAATATTTAATTATAAATTATAAACACTAATATTTATATTATCTCTGTTATTCTGTTTTTTTTTCCCCCCCAGAATGTCATGCAATTGGAATCACAGAGTATGTAATTTTTTCAGATTTTTGTTGTTGTTGTTTTATTCAGATACATGGGCTTAGAATTCATCAATGTCTTCTCGTGGCTTGATGATTCACCTATTATCATTAAATAATATTCCACTGCATGTATACCACAGCTTATTTATCCAGTTCCCTATCAAATAACATCTTGATTACTTCCAGGTTTTTGTGATTATGAACACAGCTGCTATAAAGAATTACTTGCAGGTTTTTTTTTTTGTCAATATGAACTTTCAGATTGGTTCAATAAATTTCTAGTAGTGAACTATATGACAAGACTCTGCTTATTTTGCAAGAAATTGAGAAACTGTCTTCCAAAGTGGCTGTACTATTTTTCATTCCCACCAGCAATAAATGTTTCTGCTGTTCTGTACCCACAAGCAATGAATAAGAATTCCCATTGGTCTGGATCCTCAGCAGAAGTTTGTATTGCCATTTTGTTGGACTTCAGTCATTCTAAGAGGTGTATAGTGGAAACTTGTTTTAATTTGCAATTTCCTAATTACAAATGATGTTGAACATCTTTTTATATTCTTTTTTTTTTTCTGAGAGATTTTTGCTGTAGAGCATGTATGCTTGCCAGAGATATAGGGAGAGACAGAGAGACAGAAAGCAAGAAATTACCCTCCCCAGCGGAGATGGCTATGGCGCAATCCCTTCTCCATCTCCTCCCAGGATTTTTTACCCTCCCCACCGGAGATGGCTATGGCACAATCCCTTCTCCATTCTCCTCCCAGGATTTTGGGCATGCATGCATGCACATGCACCTGCCATGAATTTCAAGCTGCCGGGTCTGGAACTCGAACCACAGTCAGCCATGTAGAAGTTCAGCAATGTAACCATTATGCCATCTGCTGGTCCCATATATTCTTATTAACCAACTGCATAAATACTTTGTGACGCATGTGTTCAGATCTTTTGCCATTTTTAAGTTGGGTCCTTTGTTTTCTTATTGCTCAGTTTTAAGAATTCCATGTATATTTTCCATAGAAGTCCTTTATCAGATAAGTGTTTAGCAAATATTTTCTCTCAGTCCATGGTTTGGCTTTTCTTTCTCTTAAGAGTATCTTTATAGAGCAGACGTTTTTAGTTTTAATTAATTCCACCTTACTAGTGTTTCCATTCATACAATTTGCTATTGTTTTCATATTTTAAAACTCATTAAACCCTATGTTATGTATCTTTTATCCTCTGTTTTCTAAAATAAGTTTTATAGCTTTGTATTTTACATTTAGGTTTGTATTTTGAGCTAATGTTTATGTAAGGTGTAAGATACATATTTTTGTTTTATTTGTGTTTGTGTGTGTGTTTGTGTGTGTGTGTGTTCAATTTTCCAAGTGTTCATGGAAAAGACTTCTTTTTCTCCATTGAATTGTATTTGCTTTTTTTGGTAAAAAATTATTTAACTGGGTGGGTCTATTTTTGGGATCTCTGTTGTGTTTTATTGATCTATGCAGCAGTTCTTTCACCAATATCATGCTGCGTTTGATTAATACAGGAAATTTTGAAGTTTGATATATTTATTCAGAATTTTATTTGATATTTAATAATAGAGTGACTATTAGTTTTATCATGTAAATTACTTAACCCATAGTAGGTACTTATTAATGGGCTATTATGGTTTAATAGAAATAAAGTGTACATTATCTGAAATTTTATCTGGGCTTTTATGTTAACCATAACAATAAAAATTAATACATAATATGCAATAAATGTTTTTGATAGACCATGTGCTAGTATAAATGTCTCATTTATATTAAATAATTTGTTATCATATCAACCCTAAAAGAGAAGTACAGTTCCTCTCCCATTTTAGAAACAAGTAAACTGAGGAACAAAGAGCTTAGACTTTTTCTTTTCTTTTTTCTTTTTTTGGAGAGGTTTTTGCTATAGGGCGCATGTGTTCGCCAGAAAGACAGACACAGAGAGACTGAAAGTGAGAAATCACCCCCCCAGGGGGGATGGCCATGCCACAATCCCTTCTCCTCAATTCTCCTCTCGGGATCTTGGGCACACACACACCCGCGCCTGGCATGAGTTTAAGCCACCAGGTCCAGGACTCAAACCATGGTCAACTACATGGGAGTTCAGTGACATAGCCATTACATTAACTGCTGGTCCCAAGCTTAGACTTTTTCAAGATTAGTTTGTAAATGGTGAAAGCAGGATTTGAATTCAACTTTATATAAACTCTAGAACTTATGCTCCTACCTCTTACATTAACCTATCAGAGGTTTGGAAAAATATCAGGAAAATAATTTTCTTCAAAGCTCTATCTATATAACTAATATGCATTTTAATTAACACTCCTTTTTTTGCCTTAGGGTGTGTGCACTCACTGGAGAGAGAGACAGAAATAGTGAAAGGTAAAGTGAGAAATCTCCCCCTAGAGCGGCTGGCCATGCCACAATCTCTTGTAAAGTGAGAAATCTCTCCCTAGAGCGGCTGGCCATGCCACAATCTCTTCTCCATTCCCCTCTTAAAATCTTGGGCATGCACACACATGTACCCAGAGTGAGTTTCAAACCACCAGGTCTGGGATTCAAACTGCGGTTGGTCATGTGGACATCCAAGGACGTAACTGCTATGCCACCTGCAGGCCTCAACACTCTTATATTCCTATGGGAAATCTCTCCCTAGAGCGGCTGGCCATGCCACAATCTCTTCTCCATTCCCCTCTTAAAATCTTGGGCATGCACACACATGTACCCAGAGTGAGTTTCAAACCACCAGGTCTGGGATTCAAACTGCGGTTGGTCATGTGGACATCCAAGGACGTAACTGCTATGCCACCTGCAGGCCTCAACACTCTTATATTCCTATGGTCATACCAGTTTCTCATTTTCTATGGTTATTCAAAAGGTTTTTAAGTTTTATGGTTTCAAAGCCCCTTACTATCTCTTGACTTTAAAAACTTACCTATTTTGATTTAAAGTTAATTTACAATTTACTCTTGGGAAAACACGTTAAGGGTGAGAAATCATCAGATAGCATTTGTCACTGTAGAATTTGATTCCAAAGAATTATTAATATTAAATTGTAGATTTAGAGTCAAATATGCCTTTGGTATACATATTTTCTCTTGGCTTCTTTGCATACAGAAATTCGTTCTATTTCAGGAATACCCACATTTGTTAGACTAGATCTCAAAGTGGGCTTATACCCTGAACTCTATGCGATATACTCGATCTTTTTCAACAATAATAAATCTTATCCCATCAATACATATTCACATAGTCTCGATGTGCCTGTCTCATGTTCACTCCTTGTTTTTACTAAACAATTCTGATGGCTTTACAGAAAAGACAAACCATGGGCCTTTACAATTCAGAACTACTGGTACATTTTACTTGTGCAATTATGGATAACAGGTCTTCTCTCAAAGGGATAATCTGTAATGGCTATGGGTTTAGAACTAGTAGCAATTCAGTAAGTCAAGAAGGTACTTCCTAGGTAGGCAGGACCAACCCTTTATTATAACTATGTAAGTTTACTCTCGTATTTTTTTTCCTACCTAATTACTTGCAAAGAGTTCTAAATATTTTTTAAAAACGTTTCTTACCCTGCATCTGAGCCATTTCCACAGAGTAAAGGGTCTTTTTGTCCATCCAAAACATAAAAGTGACCTGTGAATATAAAGAACAAACTATTTCATTTCATATCAATCCTATTCATGTTAGGAATAAATCAGTTTGACAGTCTGAGTTATTTCCAAAGTGGACACCAGCAAAGTATATTTACAAAGGCGTCTTCACACTCACAGTCTCAACTATTTCTAGGTGAAAACTCATTTGGCAAACTAAAGTTAACATAATGTAGCAATACTTCTTACTGTCATCTCCAATGTATTCTTTCCAATTAAATACGCTCATCGTTACATTAACCAACGTCCCGTTTGAATCTGTCGTGCCATTAAAGTAGGAAGTGATATTGGTTTCAAAAGCAGAGTCATTTGGGGGCCACTGCAGACATTTATTCCTCAGGTTGCCCATGAACAGCTGCAGCCCAATCAGAGCAAACACGCTGAGACAGAACACAGTCAGAATCATGACGTCAGAAAGCTTCTTCACTGACTGGATCAGGGCCCCCACAATGGTCTTCAAGCCTGAGAGAAGAGACCCATAGGTCAGTAGAGGAAGCCTGCCATCACACACAATTTCCTCTTAAAAGTTCTGCACGTTCTCTTTCCTCCACAAACCACTGCTGGCTGTTTAGACACCAAAATTTTATGGATGGACTGGTTGTTTCCAAATAGGCGAAGATCATATTTTATATATGAAAGATGTCCTTTCTAGGAGTTCAATGTGAAAATTTAAATATTTAAGAAGTTTGTTAGAACGTATATTATTTTAATTAGCCAGAGAGTGTGTGCACTTACCAGAGAGAGCTAGAGAGACAGACAGAAGGAGTGAGAAATCTGCCACAATGGGGCGTGGTCATGCCGGAATCACTTCTCCACTTCTCCATGCTGTCAGAATTTGGGGTATGTACACATGTACCAGGTATCGTTTTCAAGCTGCTCCACCCAGAACTCAAACCGTGCCGTTGGCTATGGGAAATCAGACTCCCTTAGCCAACTGACCACAGGGCTGACCTGTGTTTGTGTGTGTCACAGGGCTGGCGTGTGTGTGTGTGTGTGTGTGTGTGTGTGTGTAACAGCCTATCCCAGAGACAAACTTGAAGTTATTTTTCATTTTGAATTTCTGTTTCATGAAGCTATTTTCCTCTACCCATTCTTTACACTAGCCTCCAAGTAGCAGTGATTTGGAGGAGAAAATAGTTTCAAGATAATGAAAATCTCATGTTATTTATATGCTGTTGAATAATAACTTTATTTATAAAAGGAGATCAATTTTGTAAATAAATCTGCAATGAATGGTAAAATCTAAATCAATTAGCAAAGCCATGGTAGCAAAGCTTTATCAGAATGCAAAAGAGAAAACTATCAGAAATGCAAAGAGAGACAGAGAGAGAGAGAGAGAGCACACAAAACTTGTATATTTTTACCAATGTCTCATACAATTTTCTGTTAAAAGCTGACTTCACAAAAAGCATGTAATTTCTCAAATTTTAGAAACTGAGCTGACATTAAAACATCACTTGGCATTTTTTAATGTGGTGAACAAGAATAACAAACGACAAGCCTAAGGCTGTGTGATTTCAACCTCAATATTATTACAGTATATTTAAAGTTAGCCTTGGTACTTAGCCTGGCTCTCACCTGGAATGACTGAAATTGTTTTCAGTGCTCGAAGAACTCTGAATGTTCTCAATGCCGAAACATTGCCCAGGTCCACAAACTCTGTCACATATCTGTAATAGGGAGTTCACACACAAACACAATGACAGAACACAAGAAAAGTTGGAGATATAAGGGGCCTACAACTTTACACCAGTTTCTTCTTACCTGGAATTACCGAAATAGTTTTCAGAGCTCTCAAGACTCTGAAAGTTCGAAGGCTGAAACATTGCCTAGGCTTACAAATTCTGTTACATACCTGTAGAATTAAATCAGAGTTACTGATGATAGTTTTGGCAAAGTTTATACTATGTAAAGAATTAGATCTGGGTTTGGCTTTTAGAGCCTCCTAAGTTTAACAAACAGAATTTCTAGATACCTTAGGGAGTCATATACTGAAAATTGCATTGATTGATTGATTGCTACAGGGTGAATTTGCTCACCAGAAGAGATAGAGGGTCTAAAGAAAGCACTCTTCATGGGGAACAGTTATGCTGCAATCTTATCTCCTCCATCTCTTCCTGCTTTCAGGTTTTGGGACACTCATATACACATCCCAGTGTGTTTCTCAAGCCATTGGGTCCAGGACTCAAACTGTATAGTTGGTCAATGGGATCTGGCTCTCTTAACCACCAGGCCATTGAGCCGGACTGCTGAAAATTGGTTTCAAGAATTTTTTTACATCAATGTAATTTTCACTAATATGAACATGCATGTTTGCAAAACTAATCAAAGTCCTGTTGTTTCTGCTTAATTGAAGTCAACATATAACTTAATTTTGATGGAGAAAGACTATAAGACATGACAGTAGTTCTATTTATTGTTCATTTAACAGATTCATTTATCTTGTAATATGTGTTAATATATATTCTGGAAATGTGAGGTATATAGTTAATTTGACTAACAAGAAAACTCTGCATTTAAGTTGTGTCACAACTTGGTTTATTCTGTGACTATTTTCATTCCTTTGAGCTTGTATAGTTTAAAAAATTACTCACACCATCACAATAACGCTGAAATCCAGCCAATTCCATGGATCACGAAGGAATGTAAAATCTTCCAAGCAAAACCCTCTTGCTAAGATTTTTATAAGTGACTCAAAGGTATAGATTCCAGTAAATGTATACCTAGGAAAAGCATCCAAGCCAAAATTAACAATCTGGTCTGAAAGGTTCAAAGAGCTGTTTTCTAGCATAGCCAATCCTACTCTTTTGTGATTTTTCAGGTCACTAAAATGTGGTTCCTTGTTTCTACTTACCAAAGAATCTGTTAGTTTAAGTAATTACACAAGCCTGAATAAAAGGTTAAACTGAATAGAAAGTATCATTGTCAAAAATTGGATCTTCGACATTTTGGATTTTACTTATGTATTTATTTTTACTTTGTTAGAGGGCCCATGCACTCACTGGATAGAGACAGAAGGAGAGGGAAAGTGAGAAATCACCGGTCCCAGAAGGGATGGTCATGCCACTATCCCTTCTCCTCCATTCTCTTGGGACTTTAGGTATGCATGCATATATGCTCAGTGAGTTTTTCAAGCCGCCAAGTCTGGGATTTGAACAACAAAGCTGGTCATGTAGAATCCATCTGCCGTAAGCACCACACCACTGACCAGTTTTCCTTAGGTTTTAGAACAATAGTTTCATGTATTTTATGGATAATGATCAAACTTGGTTCTCTAAAGCATCATTGTTTGATGACAGAAATATAATGCAAACCACAAATGTAATTTTCAAATTCCTAGTAGCCAAATAAAAAACTAAGAAGGATGGGACCAGCAGGTGGTATAGTGGTTATGGTGCTGGACTACCACATGGCTGACCCCAGTTCAAGTTCTGGACCTGGTTGTTTGAAAATCACACCAGGTACATGTGAGTGCATGCCCAAAATCTCAAGAGGAAAATGGAAAAGGGATTGTATGTGGCTACCCCTCACCCCAAGGTGATTCTGAGGTGATTTCTCACTTCTCTCTCACTGGCTTTGTGGTGAGCTCACATATCCCATGGCAAAACAAAACAAAACAAAAGAAAACAATCCTAAATTTTTATATATATTTTATTTTAGCCAATATATTTGTATGCTATGATTTCAACTATTATGACTAGCCAAATTTCACTGTCAATATCCACACCGTGACTGGTGGCTCCTTCATTGACCAGTACAACCGTAGAGGCAACTTAGCTTGGATTAATTTACTTTTAATAAAATATGTCATAATTTCTTAATGATTAGACTCATTTTTAGTTCTATTTAACATGTCTAATGCAAAAAATAACTTTTTTTTTGTATGATTCATAACAATCAGGCATATAGCTGTAAAGGTGCTCGACCAGCTTCCTCTACCTACCATGTGTATGTTCAAGCATAATCATGAGGAAATTGCCCATTCACTCAGTATTTGACGTGTAATTTACACAATTACCAAAATTCAGGAGCACACAATATTCACAAATTTAACTTTGTATCAGCTACTATCTTATGTAGCTGGGTCAAATTACTTAAACTTTCCTCAAATTCAAATTTTAGCCTCTCAAATTGTGGAAAACTGTTCTACTTGCTGTTTGGTGTAGTATAATTCTTTGAGTGTTGACAATGTAAGTTATTTCTGTTTCTGTTTCTTCCAAAAATAGTTGCGAGTTCTTGTTTTTCAACATGTACTCTTTAAAGTACAATTTAAATGTATTTGTCAGATTACTTCACCCAGACCACAAAGAATTTATTTACTTTTACTAAAATTCATTGTATTTTTTCCAGCCTACCATGATTTTATGTGAAAAATGTTGAAATAGTTATTTTTGAAATGTTTTCTATAGAAATTTTGCTCCTGAGAGAATAACTAACCACCACCAGATAAATCAGAGGCAAATGTATGCACAGACCTTCACATCTAGTTTTTCTATGTACATTCAGTCCCCTTCTCACTTGATTGTTGTCATGAAAAATACAAATTGCTACCTTTACTTAATATAAAATAGTTCACTTTTAGGAAGAGATGTTTTACGATACCAAGTTCATGTTTTCTTGTGTTCTATTTGTGTATGACATGTAATTACCATGCATTTCAATGTGGAGATATTGGTCTTTTAAAAAGCCTGGAGATACCTCACATGTATGTTGTTTATCAAATTAGTGCTTAGTGGTCTATGCTTAGGCAATTCTACTTCATCTATAGAGTTACTAGGAGAAAGATTGAAGTTCCTACTTGTATTCTTGATTTTGGAACTGTAAGAAAATATGAAGGAAGATTTGGAGTGTATGGTAAGGGTTGATAGCGGCCCATGGAAGAGTCCTAGAACTTAAATCAGAGACAGAGCCCTAGAGAGAACAGCTATTGAAAAATGAGTATTAGCAAACTGGGCTGAAAAAAGTGAGTGGGAATGAAGGGACCTTGATCTTCCTTGGCTGTGCTCCCACTAGGTTCCTAATCATGTGGTTGATTCTGCCACATGTAAGTTTATTCCCTGAGATGATGATGTCTGTAGAAGTACATGCTTTGCAAAATTCTTTCACTGTATAACGTGGTTCTCAGACCATTCTGTTTCTGCCATATCTTTTACAGGGATGATTCCTGATATCAATAACTTCTGTTTTTCATTTCAGAGCTGAGTTATCATCTTGTTTTTATTGGACTCATGGTTTTGGGGGACAGTCATCACTATTGTTTTGCTTCTTTTTCTACTACCTTGCTGTCAAGCTACTAGAGATGATGGATTAGAAAACCTTTCCCAAGGTTTCCAAATAAAAGATGCAAGTCAAAAACTTTTGTAAATCTAGGACTATTTTCATAATGAATGTAATCATCTCTAAATTAATACTTTTTTTAAAAAAGAGAGATGTACCTATCTCATAGTCCACTCTATCTGTCTTTTAATAATGTACAAATAAATGAATTTATACATATTTATTATGTCCAATAATTTCTACTAGGAAAGCACATGCAGAATATTATTTATAGTTATGTCTATTTTTTTAACTCCAAAGTTGGTAACTGAGAGTTCTTCCAAATGGTCTGCTTCAACTTATGAACTGAATTTTCTTAACACTTTCTAGAAAGCATTTTCAAGTTAGTATATTAAAAAGTCTTTAAGCAGTATATTAAATCACTAAACAAATAATGACTTAAAATAGTACAGTAATAATACAGTAAATCCACGTGGAAATCTATAAAATAATTTAAAAACAGAAATATAATATTTTCTATCATATCTTATCTTCTATTAGAATTACTTTAAAGAATATAACAACCAACAGGGCATATTAAATTTTTTTTTTGCTTAACCAGTCAAATGAGTAATCATGTTCTTATACTGTACCTATATAGTCTACATAACATAAACAACAACTGTTTGCCTAAAAAAAATTATTTCTTTGACACAAAGAGCTTCATATGTGACTGGCAATAAAATAATATTATGATGCAGAAATTTCATTAGTTTTTGCACATAATTTTCCCCAGGAAACTAATGCTTTAAAACAATGAGGGGCATTTATTTTGGTCACACTTGAAATAGAAAGTTTTTAGCAATTAAAAAAAATCTTAATGAGAAAATTAACAGAAAGTGTCTTTTTTTTTTTTTTAAAGTGTAACTGAGAAGGCTAGTTTAGCATTCTTAAGAACAATTGTGCTTAGATTTCCCGCCTTCCCCCCCACCCCCCGCCGTATTAAAATCCTGAACTAAACATTTCATTTTGATGACATTACACAAATGGTCCAGGTATCCATCGCAAGAAAGGGCTAGACCTGAGGCTGTAAAGGACTCAATGTCTCTAATTTTAAGTGCAAATGTTGGAAGAGACCAAACTGGGCAAGTAGCTTTTTGGAAATTGTTAATGTTTTTATAATTGTTCTGGTTGTGAAGAGTCATACGTTTTTAGTGACTGATCCTCATTGTATTTTCCCCTTAAGTCCTATTAGCTTTTTTAGTATAATTATTCAGAAGACATTTTTTTTTCTTTCATAAAACATTTTTACAATGTTTTAGAGTACTTTCCGTGGTTAACCAACCTGCAGTTAAAATACCTAGGTATGTTTTTACTAACTATTGGGTTGTCAAGAAAGTCTTGACACATTATTAGATAGAAAAACATAGGAGAATAAGCCATGACTTTTCCGACAACCTAATGTAACACTATAGTATATGACCAAAATGCCTAACACAATAATATAGAACTAAACACCTATAAACATTCTACCAGAATATATTAATAGCAATATGCTAGGAATAAAATAATTTTATTTATCAAATTACACAAATAATCAGTGCATTATATACAAAATGTTTAACTTTGATTGACTTTTTTTTTGGAGAGATTTTCACTGTAGGGCGCATGTGCTCGCCAGACAGACAGAGACAGAGAGACAGAAAGCGAGAAAGCACCCCCCAGGGGGGATGGTCACGCCGCAATCCCTTCTCCTCCATTCTCCTCTCGGGATCTTGGGCACGCATGCACACGTGCCCGGCGTGAGTTTTAAGCCACCGGGTCCGGGACACGAACCGCGGTCGACTACATGGGAGTCCAGTGACATAGCCATTACGCTAACTGCTGGTTCCCAACTTTGATTGACTTTTAAACTACGTGATCAGTTTAGTTTAACAGCAAGTTTATATTAATTTCTAACTGCTCTTAAAAATAATTTTACCATAAATTTTTTGGAAAAAAATACTTACCTCCTAGAAGAAAAACTCCCCAAAGAACTTTATCTTCTTTCATATTCTCTTTTTTTTTTTTTGAGAGTTTTTTTTCGCTATAGGGCACGTGCGCTCTCCAGACAGACAGAGAGAGACAGAGAGACAGAAAGCGGGAAATCACCCCCCAGAGGGGATAGTCACGCCGCAATCCCTTCTCCTCCATTCTCCTCTCAGGATCTTGGGCATGCATGCACATGCACCTGGTGTGAGCTTTAAGCCACCGGGTCCGGGATGCGAACCGCGGTCAACTACGTGGGAGTCCAGTGACATAGCCATTACACTAACTACTGGTTCCCAATCTTCTTTCATATTATGGAAATAATTTTTTCTTAGACAGAAGTGTTTAGCCTGACTTTGAAGAGTGGAAACTCTAAGATGGATCATGACTACTAGATTTTACTAGAGAATTTGAGTGTGCATTTTTCATTCCAAGAAAAAATTATTCCTACTTACTCTACATTCTTCGTCCAGTCTGGAGGGTTACTCAATGTCATAAATTCTTCTTTCATATTACGGAAATAATTTTTTCTTAGACAGAAGTGTTTAGCCTGACTTTGAAGAGTGGAAACTCTAAGATGGACCATGACTACTAGATTTTACTAGAGAATTTGAGTGTGCATTTTTCATTCCAAGAAAAAATTATTCCTACTTACTCTACATTCTTCGTCCAGTCTGGAGGGTTACTCAATGTCATAAATACACAGTTGGTCAAAATAGTGCACATGATAAGCATGCTGAATAAAGTAGATTATAGTTAAGGAATAAATGTAGTATATTATCAAAGCAACTTACAAATGATCCAATACAAGTAAGTGTTTATCAACATAAATTAACTGTAAAATTAATCTTATTTGCTTTACAACAATGGAAAAAAGTAAGAAGCTTCAAATTCTGTCATATGATCGTCATCCACACTTTTTCATCTAATTATTTGCTTACAAGACTAAATTTAATATAAAAGATCACTATTTGAAGCAAATGGGGATTTTTTTGCATTCTAGTCAGTCGTACAGAATTCCACAACAAAGAGAACTCTCCGAACTTTAATTAAAAGTGCAAGTGTCAAAGTTGTACTTTTGATATCATATAAAACCTCTGCTGATTAGAAAAGGTTAATGAATTCAATATAAAAAGCTTGAGAATGTATAGTCTGGTATATTCAAAGATTTCTTCGTCCTTTTCCCTTTAAAATATGAAGAACCAAAAACCCGTGTCTCTGGCTTCTTGTATCCAGTCCACATCATATCTAAACAGAAAAGCACTACTCTGAAGTCTCCTGAGAATTTGCTGTAAAAATTTCTGTTGAAATTTTAATCCTCACTTCACTGCGTACTCTGAATTCTCCTGAGAATTTGCCGTAAAAAATTCTGTTGAAATTTTAATCCTCACTTCACTGCAAGGAATTTTGATTATTTTGGGTAATTTTTAAATTTTGAAATAAAAATATTTTTCAACATCAAGCCATAGAATTAGAGAATTTCAAATGCATCTCAAAGATTATCAGTCTTACTTACCCTGTCCCTACATTGCTCAGTCTTTCAGCTTCTATATAAGCATGTTTTGGGCCTACTTATATAAAATGCTCATTCTTGACCTGCCTCGAAAAATCTATACTATCATCACGTGACAATTTTCTTGACATATATATCCATTCTCTTTTCCATATGCTTCTTGACTTGCATTGTAAGGAGTTCAAAGTTCAAAGAGTTTGATATTATCATATACATCAGTACATAATAAAAATTTAATAAATATTTACTGAAAGAAGATAGAAGAATGAAGAAAGAATGACAGAGGAAAAAAGAAGGAAAGAAAGAAGGAAAGGAGGAAAGAAGGAAAGAAGCATAGAAGGATAGATAGATACAACGGGGAAAGATATGAAGCCAATAAAGGCACAGAGATTAAGCATTTGTAACACATCATAATACTAACCACAATAAACTACATTTCTTTAATAGTGTTTCTTGTGGTCCAAAAGAAGTTAGGAGAAGTGTGAAGGAGATCTTTTATTGTTTCTAATATGCAATGTATTTCATTTTACACATATACTATTAAGGTTGCATAATTACTTCTAGAACCATAATGGTCATCTATAATGATCTTATCCATAGTAGAAAAAGAATGAAAACAAACCAATTAACAGATTATCTCAATCTCAAAGAAATTTCAAATATCTAAAAATAACAATAATTTTTAATTTAAAAACAACCATTAGAAACAGCATTAAATATTTCACATAAAAAGGATATGAATTTACCAAAATCTTAATAGCAATTTTCCTAACAGGGTTTAGCGGAGTTAAAATATACAAGGCAGAGGTGGCACTGAATCGGAAAATTGCCTTCCCTTTATTCAATACTATAAAAGTCTGAAAAAGAACACATGAGAAAGAAAATACTAAATTAGCTCATGACTTATCTGAACACCTTATGCTTATGAAAAGTAATTACTTTTTTAAACAAATTTGTTTGTTCAAACTTGTTTGTTTAAAGCAATTGGTGACCATAACTATAATAAAGATATATAGTTTACTGTTATCATATCTTTCTCTAAGACTCCAACTTGATGATACAACCTGAAAATCCTGGGACCAGCGATTAGCGTAATGGCTATTGTTGCTGGACTCCCATGTACTCAACTGTGGTTCACAGCCAGGACCCGGTGACTTAAAACTCACGCTGGGCACGTGTGCGTGCGTGCCCAAGATCCCAAAACGAGAATGGAGGAGAAGGGATTGCGGCATGGCCATCCCCCCTGGGGGGTGATTTCTTGCTTTCTGTCTCTCTGTCTGGCAAGCGTACGTGTCCTATAGCAAAAACCTCTACAAAAAAAAAAAAAAATCCTACACAAAATTTTTTATCAAATTGTAGGGTAGCTTTACAGATTCCAATTCTATTTAAAGCTTACCATCTGTTTCCAGCTTTGGTAACTTTTCAGATTTTTCAGTACACATTGCTATTAAAGCAGTCTTTTATAAATATTTTAATTGTTTCAAATGTTTAAAATCCAACATTTATACAGAATTCCTGTAGTCCGTAATTTTTTATGTTAGTATTCCTGATTTAAAATGTCCAAGCAGGTTGAATCTTTGATAATTCTATATATGTACTGACAAAGGATCAACTTCTCAGCTAATACTGAGCAAGGACAGCTACACTGAAAATGAATCTGGGGTTCAGAAAGAAAACATTTAACAGACACAAGAATGAAAAATGATCTGTTGAGGATAATGGATATGGTAGCAACTTTTACTTGACTGACATGCAATGCATGTATGCATTGAAAAACCATATTGCAGGCTGTAAAGATGTACAATGATTAAATGTAAAATAAATTAATTTAAAAAAGAAAATTCATCTGAAATACATCATATCAAAGAGTATTCCATAGCTAAAATTCCATGACCTGAAAATTATAATCAACAACTTAACATTTAAGCTATGCTACTATTTGATTACCCACAGAGTTCCTCTAGGATCATCTTTTTTTCCCCACCAGCATCATCTCCATGCCAGCCAATTCAATGAACTTGACCGTCTCACTTCTAACCTGTCAGACTTTCTTTCTGACTCTGAAAAACGAGTGTCACAGAATCTCAGAGGAATGTAGTACCTAAGAAGTCATCTAACGCAAACTCCTTCCCAGTTCAGAGAAATGTCTCCGTAACAGATGTGACAATAAAGTCCCACCCATATGATACACTATTATGTCAGAGGTTCTTAAGTCTGCTTACATCTTAGAATGTCTGGGAAAAGTTTTCAGTTGCTGATAGCTAGGTCTTACTCCTGCTTAATTGAATCAAAGGCTCTGGGAGATGAGACCAGAAGGTGGTATGATGATTGAGTGCTGGATTCCCGCATGGTCTACCACGGTTCAGTCCTGGACCTGGTAACTTTCTTTCTCACTTTCCCTCTCTGTCTCTCTCTGTATGGTAAGTGCACATACCCTGTAGCAAATTTTTAAAAAATCTATAATAATGATAAATAAAATTAAATAATTCTTTAAAAAAAAAAAACTATAGGTATCTGAGGGATGGGCATGAACTTGGGAATTTTTTAAAATTTCCTCAGGTGATTGTAATATGCAGGCAGGGTTGATATCTCTTTTCTCTGAGAATGTTCTCAGCTATAAAAACCACCCCCTCCATTATGTCTTTTCAGATAAATCACGCTGCCTCCTGACCACGCCTTAGTTCCTTTTTTTTTTTTTTTCTGGTAAGTCATGGTATATTAATTTGCACTCTTTTATGTGTTGCCTGTAATTACAATCAAGTAGCAATTTACATGTAGTGTTCATTCCAGTGAGGACCAGGTTATAAGTTGTAATAAACTGTTGAATATAAAGAGCCTGTAAGCTACTTTTGTTCCATTTTTTTCCCCACAGCATTTAATAGTGTGGTTTGTAAATAAGCACTTGTTTTAATGAAATGTGGTTTTACTTGTTAGCTGCCATTTACCTTTAAGTCATTATTCTATATATCCATTTACTCAGTAATATGTTTTTACTCTTTAATGACTACATGCCATACATTCATATTCACTGACAATATGCTCTGGTTAGGAGACAGAAACATTTATACTATTAGTATAAAGGGTAGGGAAAATAATTTCTCTTTTCATTGCCCTTTTGTATTTCTGACTGTAGAGCTAAAAAAAAAAATACTTGAATAACCATTTTCCATAAGCTAGCCTCTATAAATTTGCACAAAGTTATGAAGCAAGCAAGGAAACTTTTCTTTTCTTGGAGAAGATTATTTGCAAAGGGGAGTGAATCTTGGGAAGCCTGCCCTGTAAACACAGAAGCATTAAAATCTAGTCATGAACTCCCATTTAATACTATAGTCAAACAATCAAGTCCACTTAGGTGTGCAACGACAGCAGTAACATAAAGTGAATTTACTCATTCTTTTTTGAAACTATTTTCGTGAAAAAAAATTTTCACTCTAACATTAGGAGAGGTTTTTATTTTGAAATATAAACTCCAAAAGCAGAGTGAACAAGAATAAACTCTTTACTCAAATATGAAACTCTTTGCTTCTCCTGCAAGATTAGCTTTCGTAGTACTAGTGGCATAAAGATAATATGCCAAGGACATTTTCACTGCATTTATAAGTTCTAGAACAGAGCAGGTCTTAAGAACAAAACCTCCATTTAGTTCTGGGAAAAAGACACAAAACTCCGAGTTCTGAGAAGTGAGAAATAAACACTAATGTCCTGGATATTGAAAGAATTATAAGAAACAAACTTGAAATTTGGAGCTCTGATGCTATTGATACATTTACCTAAACTGAAAAGTACTTGAGAAAATGATAGATGATTAGGAGAAGGATAAATAATGCCAGTTCTTTCTTTTATTTCTTTTTAAAAATTTGCTAGAGGATGCATGTGCTAGCCAGAGAGAGACAGAGAGAAAGAGAAAGTGACAAAGCATCACCCAAGAGGGATGGTCATACCACAATCCCATCTTCATTTCTCCTTTCAGGATCCTTGGCACACTTGCCTGCTGTGTTTTTCAAGCTGCTGGGTCCAGGATTTGAACTACACGGTTGGCAGTGTGGGACCCAGTCAGCCTTAAACACCATACCACTGGTTGGCCCAGTAGTGCCAATTCTAAAGTTAAATTTTCCAAGTAATGATAAGCAATGATGACTTTGAAAAATATAATAGTACTACACTTTTCTACCAACACCATGAATGCTATACGTGGGAGTATGTTAAACTGATTATTTTCTACTCTAGAATGTCACTTGCTTCTTTTTCTTAGGTTAACGTAGATCTTACAAGTTCACTAAAATTTTTACTACTTTGAAGTGAGAATAAGCCTTTCATCTCAATGAATAGAATCATATCAGAGAATTTTTAAAATGACACAACCAATTGTTTTAACATTCTCCTTTGTTATATTAATAAACACCATATATAGCTTTGCTTAGTCAGTAAGAGCTCTGGAGCCTGATTGCATGGGTTCAGATACTGGAGCTACCACTTATGGAGTGTGACCTTGGGCAAGTTACTTAACCTCTCCTGGCAGTACTTCTTCATCTGTAAACAGAGCCTACCAATAATACCTGCTTCACTGAGAACTAAATGAGTTAAAGCACTCAAGCAGTGTCTGAAACCACATGAGCATAAGAAATGATAGCTATTATTATCATTGCTACTATTCTTAAGCTATTATCCTGGTCAATTTACATTGTGCTTTAACTCATCTGATTAAAATAGGTGTTTAAAATATATTGCTAATTAATAGCAGCAAACAGTTACATAATGCAGTTTAAAAAAGACTTTTATTATTGTATATAATTAACATAGCTTCACACCATATTTTTAAATTGCAGAACTTTGACCATTATCTTTTTGCATTATTTCTTGTTATCCTAAGAATCACAAAATATTTTCTCTTTAATAACACCTCATAGATACTTTTTAGAGAAAAGCAGTGCACCAACAGTAAAGAAACTGGTCAGCTCTCTCTCGAAATGGTTTGTGGCCACACGAGTAGATCAGGGTCCAGGTTTGGCTCTTTATATTTTATTTTTTAGATTTTTTGCCATAGGGCATGTCTGCATGCCAGAGAGATGAGAGAGACAAGGGATGGCCATGCTGCTATCCTTTCTCCTCCATTCTCCCCTTGGGATTTTGGGCATGCACTCGCATCTGGTATGATTTTCAATCTGCAGGGTTTGGGACTCAAACTGCTGTCATATGGGAGTCCAGTGTTTTAACCACTTTGCCACTTGCTGTCCCCAGAGAACAATTCTATTTTTATTTATTTATTTATTTATTTATTTATTTATTTATTTATTTATTTATTTTTTGGTAGACGTTTTCGCTATAGGGCACCGGGACGCAAACCGCGGTCAACTACGTGGGAGTCCAGCGACATAGCCATTATGCTAACTGCTGGTTCCTGACAATTCTATTTTTAGAAGACGATTCACATTAACAAATCTTGAAAGCCCAACACATAAAATCAAAATGCCAATATATTTATTTACAGGGAGATATATTACTATTACTTGCGCTGAAATGATTATAATGGCATAACCAGAATATTCTTTCCTATTAAGCAGATCTTTGGGAAGACAAATTATAATCAGACATTTTCTTTTTTGGAGAGGTTTTTGCTATAGAGTGCGTGCACTCGCCAGACAGACAGAGAGAGACAGAAAGCGAGAAATCACCCCCCGGGGGGATGGCCACACCGCAATCCCTTCTCCTCCAGTCTCCACTCAGGATCTTGGGCATGCATGCACACGCGCCTGGCGTGAGTTTTAAGCCACCGGGTCCGGGACGCAAACCGCGGTCAACTACGTGGGAGTCCAGCGACATAGCCATTACGCTAACTGCTGGTTCCCAATCAGACATTTTCTTAACAAGCAAGGAGTCCAAACGAGCTGACAATCAAATGATGCATAACATTTAATGACATCTTTCCTGAGTAACCCAGAATAGACCCTTCCACAACAAGATGGCTTTGCTATTGAGAGTAAAATGCTTTCAGTGCAACTACTAAAAACATCTCTCTTCCTTAGAAAATGCTAAAGTTTGTATCTTTTTTCTCCCTTAGTGTTATAAAATGGACAATTCCTTTTCTTAAGTGTATTTCCTTTGTTTAGGTAGCAAATACTGTAATCATAACAAAATAAATCAAGCCCATCTCTTGAAGATATCTTGCAAATGGATACTTTGATCAATAGTTCTCAAAGGAGAATATTTTTCCAGATTCTTGGGAGATATCTTATTTTCATTATCTTATGTAATAGTGTAATAACTAAATTTTTTCTTGATCAGTTCTATAATAAAGAAAAATTAAAAAAAAAATTGAGAGCTTTTGGTATAAGGTACGTGCCCTCACCAGAGAAACAGAGAAAAATAGAAAGTGAGAAATCACCCTTACTGAGGATACCCACATCACAATCCCTTCTCCTCCATTCTCATGTCAGGAGATTAGGCACACATGCACATGTGCCCAGGGTAAGTTTCAAGTCGCTGGGTCCAGGACTTAAACTGAAGTTGACTATGCAGGAGTCCAGTGTCTTAACTACTAAGCCACCTGCTGGTCACAGAATTGACATTTGTAGGAATATATAAATATATGTTAAATTTCACCTTTCATGAAATTAGTTTAAATGGGAAAAAATAGCCTATTTATTTCAATTTACTTTTATGACTTTAAATAAAATGTTTTAAAGCTTGTTACTTCAAGTGTGACCCATGTACTAGTAGGACCAGTATCATCTCAAAGCTGTAAAAAAAAAAAAAAATGCAGACTCTCTGGCCCCACACTAGACCTATGGAATCACAATCTGCACTTTAATAAGCTCCTTGGGTGTTGAGTATATGTGTTCAACTTTGAAAAGCAATCCTTTAGCTCAATAGGTCTAATGCCATGTCTGAACGGTTAATTGTCATTTCATTTAGCTATCACTGATATTATAAATTTAAATTATATACTACTTAAGGAATGCAACTCCTTCACTCATTGCTTTTAAAGTATAGTCAGCTTTAACTGATGAAGGTTTTTAATATCTTCCTTAATCCATAAGACATCTTAGCTATTACATTGATCTGTTTTATGACTAGGGATGTGAAATATAAATTATGGTTGTCAGGTGCCAAAATACTCAACTATTACAGGATACATGAAGTCTAGCATCATTTTTTTATATTTTCTATAAAATTTCACCAGGCCAGTTTAACTATAGAAACTAGCTAATTCTAACAGAAATATGAGGTTATTTTAGCATTAAGCAGACATAATCATACCGTTGATTTGAATCATGTATAGATGATGAAAGCTTGAAAGTTTTTTCTTGATCTTCTAAGGTTAACATTTTTTCCACTCTGAAAGACTTCTTTTTAAAATGTTATTTATCATTATTATTATTTTTCAATTTGCTATAGGACACTTGCACTCACGAGAGAGAGAGAGAGAGAGAAAGAGAGAGAGAGAAGAAGAAGGAGGAGGAGGAGGAGGAGAGGGAGGAGAAGAAGGAAAGTGAAAAAACAAGCTACTAGGTCCAGGACTTGAACTATGGTTGGCCATGTGAAAGTCTAGCACCTCAACCACCATGCCACTTGCTGGCCCTCAGGATGATGTTTTAACAGTATGTACCTGTCCCAGAATCTAGCCTGTCACAATTGGAATAAAGTCAATGAAGAGGACCCTAATTATATTGCTTGTTAATGGACAAAAAATAAAATAAAATAAAATAAAATAAATTCTCTGACTGAGTATGCTTCTCCATATATTATCTGCTTCAAGGTAGGTGATAAATAGAAGGTTATTTATTATCGTCTAGAAGCAAATAATTGTGAAGACTTGGGCCAAATAAGTACTAAAAGATACAATATAAAGTAAATCTGCCAATAATCTTTTTGTATGTATAACTATTACTCTTACTTATCCTGTGCTTAAACAATAACAGATATTTTGCTTTGTAGATATCACTTTTAATTTCGACTATCTCAGTTGTGGTGACAGTGCAGAAACTGATCATTGCTTTATATCTCCTTATTGTCATCTACTCTTGACTTCATTTCTTACAAATGTTATTATACTATGCTTAAAAGAGAGTGTTCATCAAGAGTACTGTAACATCTTTTACTAGAAAAAGTTTATGGTACACTATGTATATAAGCCCCAGAAAAAGATATTAAAGTTACTATAGGCTTTCAATAGACTCATTGAAAAATCAAATCAGCACTCACTCTCTTACTGATATAGTACGGGTCCAGGTCCTCCAGGGGCTCTGATACCATCTCTGGAGGAATGTCTCCATAAATGAATGGAAGGTTCTTTCCAGCTTCCAAGTCACTATTTGGCTTTGGTTTGTTTTCATCATCATCTTGTTCTCTTTTGGGCTTCTTGGCTTTCTCTTCTGCAGCACGTTTTTCGATAGCAGCAAGAGATTCTCTAGTAAAAAGGCGGAAGCTTTCAGGTCCCGGGGGTACCAGCAGTGTCTGTGCCATCTTTTCATCCTGCACATTTAATTACGTTTAGCTTCTTGCATAAGAATTGCCTACAATAGAAAAAAATAAGGACTAAGAGTTAGGAAAGCAAGTGATAAAGTAGGAATAAGGAAATCAATTAAAATGCCATTTAATGTGTTTTGTTTTAGTAATTTTAAAATAAATAGGGGGTTGTGCATTTTTTTTTTTTGGAGAGGTTTTTTTTTGCTATAGGCTGCGTGCGCTCTCCAGACAGACGGAGAGAGACAGAGAGATAGAAAGTGAGAAATCACTCCCCAGAGGGGATGGCCACTCTGCAATCCCTTCTTCTCCATTCTCCTCTTGGGATCTTGGGCATGCACGCACACGTGCCCGGCGTGAGTTTAAGCCACCGGGTCCGGGACTCGAACCGCGGTCAACTACATGGGAGTCCAGCGATATAGCCATTAAGCTAACTGCTGGTACCAGGGTTGTGCTTTTTATGCTGTATTGTGAATTGTAACCTGACAACATCATTTAATCTAGTTTTTTTTTTTTTTTTTTCCTTTGGAGAGGTTTTTTTTTTTTTGGTTATAGGGCACGTGCGCTCGCCAGACAGACAGAGAGAGACAGAAAGCGAGAAATCACCCCACAGAGGGGATGGCCACGCTGCAATCTCTTCTCCTCCATTCTCCTCTCGGGATCCTGGTCACACATGCACACGCACCTGGCGTGAGTTTTAAGCCACCGGGTCCGGGACGTGAACCGCGGTCGACTACGGGGAATTCCAGCGACATAGCCATTATGCTAACTGCTGTTCCCCATTTAATCTAGTTTTTGATAAACTAACCTTATAAATCTGTCTAAAGAGGGTTTTGAGACCTTGGGGAAAAAATAGAGTATAACTTTATTAAAAGAGTAATACCAGGAATGCATGTTAACAAAATTGCTTAAGGGAACCAGCAGTTGGCGTAATGGCTATGTTACTGGACTCCCACCTAGTCGACCGCGGTTTGCGTCCTGGACCCGATGGCTTAAAACTCACGCCAGGTGCGTGTGCATGTGTGACCAGGATCCCGAGAGGAGAATGGAGGAGAAAGGATTGCGGTGTGACCATCCCCCCTGGGGGTGATTTCTCGCTTTCTGTCTCTATGTCTCTATGTATCTCTCTGTCTGTCTGGCGAGCACAGAGAAAGCTGTCAGGTCCAGGACTTCAAAAAAAAAATTTGCTTAAGAACCCAAGATGCCTTACCCCCCTTTTCACAGCTTACTAACTCCTCAAGTAAAGAAGCACTGGTTACAACACAATTATGTCATCCATTCCTGACTCATAAAAATCTCAGGATGATGAAGGAAGTTCTGCCCAATAAACAAACTGACAATCCAAAGTTCTGACTGTCAGCACCATCCATACCTGCTACTCCAGAAAAAATCCAGATTACCAACAGCAAGAGGGAACGCTACTGCTTCCAGAAAAATCTACCCACCTTTTGTAAGTTTCTTTTTTCTTATTTAAACAATTTTTTTCTTTAACCATGATAGGGTACTTGTGCACACACGTGAGGTAGGAAGAGAGAGTGAAGGAAAGGTGGGAACGGGAGAGGCCTCCTCTGCAGTGCCTCTTCGTCCTTCAGTTTCGCACCATGACCTTCCTCTGGTCTGCTGGGGCATTCAGAGCATGCCCAGCATGATTCGGACTGACCGGGCAGGGAATTTGAACCTTGCTAGCCTGTGGGATTCGGCTTCTCTTGAGCAGCCCATTACTACCGTGACATGGAGCTTGCCCATTCTTTCTTTGATTAAGTCAAATTCTAGTTTCCTTGGTCTCTGCACCTTTTCTCTTTCTGAGGCAATGTGGAATGTTTACTTCCAGTCTGCTGCCCTCCAGCTATTCCAAGACAACTTTAACAGTCTTCCAGAATCTTCCATTTAGTGTAGTGGTTAAGAGCATGGATTGTGGAGCTATACCTGGCTCTGCCACTCATGAGCTGCATGATCTTGGAAAATGTAACCACTCGTTGCCTCAGTCTTACAATGGGGTTAGTAGGAGAACTGACCACTTGGGTTACTGTTAGGAATAAATGAATTAATTTATGTTAATTGTCTAGAATAGTTTCAGAAATTAGTAAGTACAATATTAGTGTGAACTATCAAAATCAAATTATGATCAGTTCCACTAACTGTTTTCCCTTTACTATGATTTCAACATTGACAATACAAACCATTCTTTTACTTTTTAAGAATTATGTATTTGATTTTATTAATTATTAGTAGTAGTATTTTAAAAGTGCTACAGCCACAGGGCACATGTGCTCATGTGAGAGTGAGAGAGAAAGAGAGGGAAGGAAAGTGAGAAAGAAAGCTGTCAGGTCCAGGACTCAAATCACAGTCAGTCATGTGGAGTCCAGCGCCTTAGTCACCATAGCACTTGCTGGCTCCAGCAAACCTTTCTTTCTTAAACAAGCTGTTAGTGTATTGGGAGCACAACTGGCCATGGAGCTTCAGGAATGCACTGAGAAGTGTACAGTACGTGGGCACATTCACGCATGCCTCCCCAACAGCTGGGAGAGGAAAGAAAAGAAGGCAGAAATGTGGACCGGCCCTGTTGAGTTTCTGAGGAAAAGGAAAGAGTTCTATCTGCCAGAAGTATGACAAGGCTGTCAAAAATACAGGAAATCAACTACATACAGTTTGAAACATAAGTAATGAGGCTGTTTTACATTACACCAAAAATTACACTTAATGAATCAAGATATAAAATAGAAATGGTGATGAAATACGATGAGCACATTAGTCGTCTCAGAATTCACAAGTACAGCATTGAAGGAATCCTCAGAGTCATTTGTGATTTTTTTTCTATTCCCAATTATTCCCCTCCCCCCCACATTTATTTTAGACTCCATAGTAATTTATCCCTAAATGGCCTTCTAATTCTTGGCAGTTTACCACATGCATGTACTTGAGCTCACAGAGAATGAGGAACTCTGGACCTTTTAGTAATATGAGAATGGCAATATGGGTTATACTGTGTGTTTTGAGTTTGTACCTGAATTGCCAGATGCCTGGTCTACTCTGGTGGGGTGATATATTGCATATTATATAATATATTAGGTGTGCTTTTTCTTTGAATTTGTGTTTATTTTTGCCATTATAGTTTTTGCTACTATTAAGGTATACTCTAAATAAATTGCATAATTTAAAAATAAAAACAGGCTTATTGAAAAAGTACACTATTTTCCTACTAACATTTTTTTCTTTCTTTTCTTTTATTCTTTTTTAGTTTTTGCTATAAGGCACAAGGGTTCACCAGAGAGATGGAGAGAGACAAAGTGAACAATCACCTCCTGAAGGAAAGGCCACACTACAATCCCTTCTCCTCTAGTCTTCTTTGCAAAATCACACCCAGAGTGATTTTCAAGCAGCCAGCAGGATTCAAACCTTGCGGCTGATAATGTGAGATCCAGTGCTTTAACCTCCACGCTACCGGCCGGACCCCTACAAACTCTTAAAAAAATTTTTTTTCTTAGTGAGGAAAGACATTATTATTATTATTATTATTATTATTATTATTATTATTATTCTCCATCAAGTGGCACATGAATCTTAAGGTTGGGGAGCAATTTTATTTTATTCAAAAATCAATTACCTATTTATTTTGTGCCCTTTAAAATGAAAGTGCTAAGTGAAAATGAAACAGCATGACAAACATATCTAAAAAGATGTTTACGTCTGTGAAATACTGTTGCTTTTGTAGGAGAAAAGAAAGGCTGCTTTTATATGAGCATTTGGTTGAACTGATTTTGGCTTCTTTATTGATGATGAAAGACATGCTGCTATTGGAATGGGAGGTCTGGGTTAGTTAGTATTGGGTTCACTATTAATAATAGTTTGACTGCGTCGTTCAGTCTTCTCAGCCTCAATGTCATGGAAGCACATCATCATATTGGTGGAAATACGCTGGTACAGAGAAATAACTAATTATACTAATTTTACTTCATTGAAGTTTCTTTATTCCCAAGTTTTCAAAGTAAAATTAGATTAAAAATATCTACTGTGGAATTCTGTTGATAATCTTCACAGATTATTCTGATTTCTATGAGATGTTGTAAAACAAGATACCATCACAAAACATAAGAATTTCTTTAGAAGAAATACTTTTTGCCTAGCTGTGGTTACACAATGCTCCATGATGCTGAGGCCTATGGGAGGGTCCCAGGGTCACATCATAGGGTTTCCTTGTGCATACCATGAGTCACGTGTGTGGTTTCTGCCCCCCACCTCCGCTCCAGTCCTGTTGGCTGAGGCTCTGGGGGGGACTGAAACACAAAGACACTGTTAGGGGTTCCCCTTTCTCTCTCTCACATACTCACACTCCCTTTATCTCTGCCTCTCTATCTCATGGAAGATACCAATCAATAAAATTTTTTAAATATTTAAAGAAAACAAACAATTCTTTACCTTCTTGTTCACTTATCAAGAGCTAGAATAAAAAAATGAAATCATGGTCAAAGTAAATTCTGAAAGTCACATACTGTTGTCTTCACATCCTGAGAAGACACTCTACTTCCAGACACTCAGCTTGTCCAAGGGAAATTAGGGGGTACCTGATATTTAGATAGGCCTAGACATTAAAGAATTTAGTATGCAGGTTCCCCCGTAATTTTGTTTATCAGCTTTACATAGTTCTTTGGAAGTTCTCTTTTCCATCTTTTTCCTCTTCTTTCTTGTTCTTTGGGAGCTCATTATACAAAGCTCTTACATAAGTTTATATTCATATTAGATCAGCCTGTTAAAAATTAATTCTTACTGGTGTCTTGGTGTGGGAAATATATTATTAATAAATGTATGTGCATTATAATTTATTAAAATATATCAAATATAAAATACTAAATTTTCTGCAGAACCAGCTTTGCAAGGACAAAAAAAGACAAGAAAAAAATCTGAGGAGATGATCTCTGATTAAAAAACGAAGATCCTATGAGTGTGAATGTATGTGAATAAAGCCTTCTGTTAATCAATATAATGAGTGTGGTTCAATCTATCCTGTTATAGGAATGAATTGCAGTTTCAAATTTGAAAGATCTTTTATTCA